TATATGTATGTGTATATGTACATATATATATATATACATATGTCTGTGCGTACGTAAGCTCGCATATATATCTATATGTATATCCATTCTTTACATACATACATACATACATACATACATGCATACAGGCCTGGGGTGGGCCTTGGCGCCACCACGCAGCAGTCCACAGGCGCAAGCGTACTTGCGCTCGTGCGTGTTTGCAACGGGTCTGAAAGTAGAAAGTCACACGCAGGCACTACATGCAGATATCTGGGGCAATGATCGACCCCGCATCGAGTCTGCATCTGGCTGTAGCGCACTTGGCGAAGGGACGTATGATGGCTCTAGCAGCATTGTCCTTTGGATGGTGCCGGGTACGAGGCAAATCTGCGCTAGCAGTGGATTTTCATGATCCTTGGTCCAGCCGCAGTATCACAAGCACCTGCATGAGGTCCTGGCCGCGTGCGCTTTCATCACATTCTGTGGAAGCGGCAAGGATCACTCTGTAACACGTGCCTCGGCACGAACCGTGTTAAGTTGTGTCTCTCCATGAGCTTCGTGGGACACGTTCGGATTTCCGCACTCCTCTTCTTTCGCGACCGTTTGTCGTTCTTTTGCGGGAGTAGGTTGTTGATGCCGTTTCATACTCACTAATTGCGCTGAACCTTGCAACTTGAAGCCTCACGGGGAGCAGTGTTTGAGGCAAATCGTGCCGGGCGCGTTCACGGACGGAGAGACTTGGGAGGAGCACTACACGATCCATGGCAGCAAAATGCACCAAATCCTCCTCGAAGAGCTGAATTCAGAGCCCGGAGTGTGCGAAGGCAAATGACGACTGCCAGTGCCCCTTGCCTGCTGGTTGACAACGAGGCATCAGCATGCCCTCGCTGTTGCACGAGTTGTGGCTCTTTTTAAGTCCTGGTGTCGCAGGTCTTGCATCGGGGAGCTGCCAATCCAAGCAGGAACTGGGTGAGCACCTGCTCGATCGAGCTGTGCACCCGCACAGGCATCTTGAAAGCACAGGCTAACTCAAGCAGCGTGGAGCTATGTGGCGCCACTGCTTCTCGTCCAACCTCGTCATCGCCACGCCTCCACCTCCATCTTTCCCCGGCCATGTTTTGAATCTCAGTTGTGCTGATCTTGTCTTTTCAAGGCTCTTGCTTGTATCATGGTCCTTTCCAGTAGTTAGCCTTGCCATTGTTGTAGAATGTCGGTGTCGGCAGTGGCGGTAGTTTCATTTGTCCAATTTGCAAATGACTTTTCATCGACTTCTGGTCGTCGGAGATCGCGTCTTCGAACATGCGATGGATCTGCAGAAGTGATTCATGTTCCGTCACCTGCCTGGTTGTCGTTGGTGCTGTGTGTAAAGTTCTGCAGTAGTAGAATTCTGCACGGAAGCTCTCTTAGGCTGCTGGAGCAATGGGGATGTTCCAAGGATATGAGGAGGTGTGGAAAGAGAGTTCGGAGAATGATGGCGTGTACCGCATGCTGCCGATCTGCTGGAGTGGATAGCCCCGGCGCCGCTCCTCCAAACCGCCAGGCGCTGTAGGGGCGGCGGGGTGGGTGGGGGGGGGGGAATTGGGGGGGGGGTTTACAGCACTTGGGAAGATAGGAGTTAAGGGTTTATTGCTCCGGACTTGTCGATGGTCTTCGAGATCTTAGTACCTGGCCATGACGTGGCTTCAGGTGGAACGCGTACGGGATCGCCAAATACCTCTGCCACAAGGTGGGCATCTTACTGCATTCAAGAAAGCATGCGCTAATATGCCTTCTTGCTCGCATGAAGTCTCTGCAAAGGCCATGCAGTGCTCAGAGCTGAGAAGCTGCGTTTCTAACTTATCACACTGAAAGACGTACTCCGCGTCGCAAGGACGCGCAACATGCAGTTCGAAGCTGCCCTGCAGTGCGATCCAATAGTCAAGAAAGTGCCGTGTGGCCGCTCAAAGCGCTGCACTGGCCATTTTTGTCGGGTGCATTCAAGAGCTGTGTCTCCATTTAGCTCGATGTTGGGGAATGATAGCCGCCGATAGCCTCATCACATTGCTCGTTGGGGCGCTTGGAGACTGCAGTTTGTTTCCCAAGCATCCGTGCAGATTAAGTGGACGCTGCGGGCGTCAAGCCAACTGGTACTAGGTGACGTGTGATCCTGGGTTTCGTGACAGCCCGAGCTGTTGCTGCAAACTCTCTGAGTCAGTCGACGCAGTCTAGACTCTAGACGAAGGCTAGGTGTCTCTGGGTGCCTTTTAGGCTGACTCAGGGAAGCTACATTTGGGACGATGTGTAAGACTGCAGGATACGAAAAACTTTCGCGCTGCAAGTAGGTTTGATGGAAAGCTTAAGGTGATCGGAAGGGGCTCGGCCTCTGCAGCTAGGGCCAGGGTTTAGGTTCAGAGGTTTCAGAGCAGGTAGCTGATTCAGTGATATCCAAGCCTGACTTGAGCAGGGAGGCATCCTGCTGACTGCATACTGTAGCTCATTCTTTAGGCAGTGCCCTTCGGGAGGGAAATCGCAACTAATGGCTTGCGTGGCTCACGGTGATCACGCAAAACTACGCAAAACTACGCAAAACCAAATGCGACAGAAGAGTCCATGTCGTTGTCGCATACCGTGTCCTCCAAATCGTCTATGCAGTCTCTCGTTTCTCGTTAGGTGTTACCTGGCAGCAACACCGCATGGCATCGCAAAGCTTTTTCGCCCTTCTGCCTGATTTGAGGCACCACAGGGGAGTGAGCCTACGTGAGCAGTTGCCTCTGCTGTACGCTGTCTCACCGAGGTTCTCAGAAGCCAAAAAGGAGGTCGTCTTCACCTTCGCTCCCGCCAGTGTACCACATGGGTCTCAGAGTCTCAGCCACGGTCGCCGCTCGTCGCCGCAGTTTCTGGCTCCCAGTTAGGGGGTCTTCGGGGCCTTAGGGGCCGCCTTGAGCGGCCGGGCGCGGAGGGCCCAGAGCCGGAGCGCCACAGTGCAAGGCCGCTTTGGGATCATCAGAGGTGAAAGCAGGTGAGGGGCGGAAGGATGTGGAAGGGTAAAAAAGGTCATTGGCCACTGGCTTCGGGGGGAGCACCACTCCACCTGTGAGGTTGTCCATACTCTGCACTGTGGTTAGACGCCAGGCATAGCATCACAAGAAGTCCCTTCGTGGCTCATCTCCACTTTTGCTGAGGGCCTGGGCGTGGACCTTCACATGAATGGCGGCAGCGAAGCTTCTGCCTAAGAATTTGAGAGCAGGTGAGAATGTAGCAGGAAGCATTTGGATTGGCTAATGTTCCGCATTGTCGCATGGCTGTTGTCCCTGCAGCACTTCCGCGTTGACAATCTGCCAGGCCAACCATCAATGCTCACATACCGAAGACGGACATTGTCACCCGCCATAAGGCAGGTTCCCAGCACCCATCGCATATCTGATTGGTTGAAAGATGTGCGTTTTCGTCTATTCTGCTTCTCTGCCAGTGCCTTTCTCCCTCATGATTCGTGCCGGTTCCTTTCGCTCCACTCGCTGCCACAAAAGAATGTTTGTTTAGGTACCGACCATGACACACCCGTGCCCAACTCCCTTTCTGGTCAGGTGATCCGCTTCGGTACGACGAGAAAGGCCTTCAATTTGTCCTGCACGTCGATACTTGCCGAAAGCTGGGGATTGGAGATGTGGTTTATCACATGGCGTATCTGAATCTGGTATAATCAGCATAATCTTACATTCGAAGATGCAGTGAATAGGGCGAAGTCGAAGTACTTACAAGGCTCGTTGCCCAGCCCTGGAAGGCTCCCACAGAGCAAGAAGCCAAGCTCTATGCCTACCTCCACCAGCGGGCCGACCTCAAGGTGGGCCTTCAACTGTGGTGTTACTCTGGAAGCTTCTCTTCGAGACCCGGGCAAGTACGGTGAATCGCCAGCTTGCGATGCTGTGTCATATTGCAATTGTGTTTTCATGGGAGACAATCGTCACATGTGGTCGCTCAGGTTTCTAGGGGGAGCATCCCTGTCGGCTTCTACTCATGCATGTTCCTCGACGAGGGTTGCAGCCTTATCCAGAACCCTACGCTCTTGCTGAGAGAAAGCGCAATCCACTGAGGTCAACCCCTGTACTTGGAGACCCGCTTCGGAGGCATTGATGATGATGGCGAGCCTGTGGGACCTCAATACCAGGCGCTGGATGGTCGTGCTGCGCTTTTTGTTGACGGTTTTCTTTGTAGAGCTCGGTGAGGTTAGTTGGAAAGCTGAGAAAGAGGTGATGCTTGGCTGATCATGGCTGCTCATGCATCTATGAAGGGTAAGCCGCAAACCAAGCCATCGGCCTACTTATAACCCAAACCATGCGCAGGTGCAGCATGTCCTTGCTTCATGTCAGTCGCCACACGCGTTTCATCAGGAAGGTGGAGCATGAAAGCCAGGCGACAGGTTAACTGCTGGACGGCAAGCTCCTCATAGTGTTGCCACCTAGTCAGGAAATCGCTCCCAAAACAAGCAGTTCATTCGAAAGCCCTTCAAATTCCTGCAATATCCTGCCACATCTGCCACTTGTGTGTAGTGACAAAGCCGAGGATTCCGCCCCTGGACAGCCTGAGCGACGGGTGCGCTCGGATATACTTTCCTGTGCATTTCTGCGAGTGAGATAATCATGTCATTTGCGCTTTGCATCACCGCTGGCAGTAGCCTCTAGCTGATTCATAGACGGCCACTCTTTCACAGCTTACATCGACAGCTGAGATCCTGTAAATCCAACAGGCAGCCTCGACGTGGCAAGGCCAACGAAGTTTCCCGACTAACTTCCAAACTGTGCTTTTCATTGACCCCTAAACCCTGAAGGCCCTAAACCCTAAACTCTAAACGCTAAACCGGCCCTCACCGAAGATCGACAACAGCAGAAATGTGGACTCCATCCGCCGAGCCGTGATCGGTGCTTAGCTGCCATACATGGTGGTGCCGTGCTTAGCACGCGTGCACGTTCTGTGTGATCTGTTCTTATGTGACTGACTGAAGGAATGCATGTACGTACGTACGTAGTACGCATGTTTGCCTGCATGCTTGCATTTGTGTACATGTGTATGTGTGCATAAGAAGGCACATAGACTTACATATACGCAGGGGAGCTTGTCACATCCGGTTGTGATATTCAACAATGAGGTGCCAAAGAGCAAGCATGTGAAAAGGCAGGCGCCCTGGCCCTAGCGGAGCTTAGTAGTTGGACTGGTCGACAAAATGAGATGCGCACGACAGGTTTGCAAGCAACAGTACGAGCCATGTGAAGGCATTGTGGCTACATGACAACTCTGAGGCCAAGCGCCGTGTTTGCCCGGTCTGCCTCGGCTGCTCTCGTCTTTTGCTTCGGGAGCGCCTTCACAGGCAAGCACGTCGTGGACATGCCTTGTGCGTTCTTGGTTGGATGTGAGAAGGTGGATATTACCGCAACATACGTGCTGGCACGGTCTCCACAGCGCACCTGAAAGACGAGGCTCTTCAGGGATATATCCTTACAGTTGAAGACGGGCGTAGAAGGATGGGCTGCAAGGAGCCAGCTGTGGAGACGGTGCCCGGCATGGCAGGCGGGACACTGCAAAAGTAAATCGACTGTTTGTGCCGTGGCCTTCATTTCAAAGCTCGTGCGTTTGCAGAGGTCTAGCACCTGCAGAAGCAGAGGCCGGCGTCATCCAATCTTCTGCACACTTGGTCCCTACACTAGGAGCTCATCACCCTGATTCCGCCAGCTGCGTGATTGAAGGAACCGTGCATGTGAGGACTAATTTCACGCGTTCTAACCTGTCGGCAGGATGCGCATAACTGTCGTGGGCGTGGAAGTCTCCTTGCAGTTTGGTGGCCGGTTATTGGTGCAGGTGGTCGGGGAGAACAGCTCCAGGGCCATCCGACTGCTTTACTCAGAAGGCCGGTACTGTGATGTCGTGTGTTTACAGCATCGCAGTGGACATTGCTACTGTAGACATTATTCTAGTGTGGCGGAGCCAAGCGTGATCACATGTGATGTGAACGGATATGTTTTCCTTCGAGGAACATGCGAGACATTGCGGCATTCACCGAAATTATTGATCTACCAAGCTTGGTAGAACTTTCAGTGCAACTGAGGAGGAGTTGGGGTGGAGAAAAGCTGGCCCCGTCAGGGACGGCACGTTCTAATCTAGATTGTTGCTACGAAACTCAGACAAGAGAGTGCGTGTGTGCGTGCGCGCGCGCGCGTGTGTGTGTGTGTGTGTATGTGTAAAGATCTTAATTCGTCGCCAAGTCAGCACTGCACGTGTGCAACTACCGTAGGATTTGGAGATCGCAGTCTGCATGTCAGCACATGGTGGCAGTGCAAGATCAAGCCTTTGCTGCTGCTGCTGGCGCTGCCGCTGCTGGCGCTGCCGCTGCTGGCGCTGCTGCTGCTGCTGCTGCTGCTGGTGCTGCTGCTGCTGCTGCTGCTGCAGCACCGTATAGACATGTAAAATATTGGACTAGCTTTCAGGTTAGATCAGGTGCTTGGTCTTGATCACTGTGTCGTGAGAACCTCCATGTGACAAGGCCTGCAGACCTTCCAGGCAACACTGGAGAAGCTGCAGGCTTGTCGTGCAGTTGTCCTGTGTGTCGGAGATGGCTGCTGGAGTCTACAACCAGCTTGCATGGTTTTCAGGGTTCCTGCAAATCAGCCGTTGCGAAGAGCTCTGGTTGGAAATCCCACGCTTCTGAGAGACGAGGCAAGACTGTCAACCAATCCTCTAACACAAATGCAGCAACTTCTGAGGGTGAAGAAGCACATAATATGAATATCATTGACTAAGGTCAGCAGGTTAAGACAAGCATGACCTGTGTTTCGCGAAGACACACTTCGTAATGTGCCGCAGCAGCAGCGGCATCATCATCATCATCATCAGCATCATCAGCATCAGCATGAGCATTGTTTCGGAAATCTATGCCCGGCCAATCTCAGCTTCGTAAACATCTGACAAGAATCGACTCTGTGAAGGCAGCAAAGGCGGGAGAGGAAAGCGTACTCCAGGCAGGTGCATGTTCCCAGTTGATTGAGCTCTTGATTAACTGGGTCCTGCTCCATCCGAACCATGCCCATGATGCAGGCTACTAGTACGGAAGAGAAGAAACAAATTTAATTACGACTTAGACGTGTAGGGTCCATCACTCATTCAGTCTGGTGACTTGTTTGGGTGCAGAGGCGACGTTGAAGAATATTCCGGCTGTGATCAGCAACATCACCGAGCAGGCTATGCAGACCCGTTCGCACTGCGGCTTTTGCTCATGCATTGTATCGAACGAATCGAAGCACTCGCTAGCCTCGGTCAGGAGATTCCGACAGATCTCGAGAGCGACTTTGAGCAGGCCAGTCCCTGCTTCTGACAGCCGCTACGAATGTCCTAAGCTTTAAGCTCCACGTAGCCGTGGGCATTCAGCACAGATGCGAGTGGCAATGGCAGGTTGGTCCCGGAAGTTAATTCTTGGCTGGCCTCAAGCAAGCATCATTGAGGCTCTTGAAGCCACCACGACAATGCTGTCGCCAGCGGACATTGGCGAAGGCCAGGCCATTACGATCCATCGCAGTTAACAAGAGCGTGCCAAGTCCGGTCTTGCGCACTTCATCCACAAGCGTTTCGGAAGTAAGTTCCCAAGCTAGTTTGATAGACATGGAAGAACATGGTCGGATGCTCCTGAACCAGCAGGTCCTCTAATAGAACTGGTGGCTCCGATGGTGGTGAAGATGCCTTCGAATCTGCAGGCAATCTGACACTGGGACCCACGCTCTTCCGGCAGCTACTGCAGCTGTCTCTTGCAAGGGGCCCAGCTCCGGATCTTCAGCAAGAATGGGACCCGTTTATAGAACACTGACTGAGGAAGCCTTGTAGTAGAGGCCTTGTAGAACCTTTATGGCCTGATCCTTCATAAGACAACCGCAGCACCGCCCGGGCGGTGGCGAACGTAGCAAAAACCACACCCAAACCCAGAAGCATTCGAAGGTGCAGCGCCTTCCCGAGATGATGCGAAGGCTCGGGCAACTCGCCTCTTCGATGCATGTCAGCAGCCTCATGTCATTCCGGGCAGATGTCACCACGTATGAGTGTATGTACCAATCCATCAGTCAGTCAACCAGTCAACCAGTCAATCAGTCAATCAATCAATCAATCAATCAACTCAGGAGCTTCTCTACCCAAAGCCTCTGGAGGAGAAGACGGAAGTCTCGCAGGAGCTGCGATGGCCATGTCGCGCCCTGTCAGGATGTCAGCAGAAACCGCTGCCTTAGCTGAGAACTACAACCAAGTCTAGCGCTTTCAGATCGGGCTAAGAAAGGGGCTTCGTGTTTCTCATTATATTATATTATATTATATTATATTATATTATACTATATTATATTATATTATACTATATTATATTATATTATATTAAATTATACTATACTATATTATA